TAACAAGTAAATCAGTTCACTGCCCATTTAGAACCCTGACATATCAGGCTCTTAGCCCTAGCCTATTCACTCCTTTCTTCCTTTAAGGAAATGTTTTCAGCTTTTAAGAATAAAATAAGGCCAGGCACAGTGGAGCATGCTTGTTCACCTCAGTAACTCAAAGGCAGGAAGGTGGGAAGTTCAAAATCAGCCTCAGCTATTTAAGGAGGCCCTAAGCATATTAGACTCTGTCTTTAAAAAAAAATGCTAGGGATATTGCTCAGTGGTTAAGTGCTCCTGGGTTCAATCCCCGTTACCAAACATAATAAGAAGGACCAAAGAGGATGTGTAAATCCCTAGTGCATGCAAAGTAAGATTAGGTTATGCGGGCAGGGGTAGAAGTGTCTGGCTTTGTAGAACACATCCACCCCAGCTGGAGCTAATCATCTCCAAGTGGCAGGTAAAGACTGATTCTGGTTGCATCCTTTATAAGAAATGGGATGAATGTTCGTGTCTTAAAGGACCACATTCTAATTTGCTTGGGCTGTCAGGATAGAGCTACATAATTGTATACCACAAGTGGTCATGAGGTCATTGTTTCTGGTGCATTTGAGAGAATTATGCAGAATGTATTAAGGTGGAAACCAGATCTTTCATATGTCCATCTGTGGCTCATTAAAAAAGCCAAGTCAACCTCGCTAAGATCCAATGAGCTGAGGAAAAAAGTGAATAATGGAGAGCAAAAAAACAGGGATTTCTGAGCAAGTTAAATTTTCTTGAACAGGATTACCTTTTTTTATTTTTATTTTTTTAATTTTTATTTAATTTTTTAGTCATACATGACAGTAGAATGCATTTTGATATATAATACGTACATGGAATGTACTTACATCAATCATATTGTCTGTTCTGCTGCCCTTGAACAGGATTACTTTCGACAATAAATTTTGCCAAATACTTCCATCCAAAATAATGGCTAATGCATGACCAATGTGATTCTGCAACATGCACACTCAGAAAAATGAGAAATTATATCCCATTTAAGTGCATAAATGTATTCTACTGTCATGTATAACTTAATTTAAAAACAATTATAAAAAATTAAAACAAAGTTCACCATGAAAAGTAATAATAATGGCAGAGATAGCTGGGTGGAGTGGTCGCTCATGCCTGTAATCCTAGCGACTGGAGGCTGAGGCAGGAGGAACATTACAAGTTCAAAGCCAACTTTAGCAACCTTGGCCCTAAGCAACTTAGGTAGATCCTGTCTCAAAACAAAAAGGATTGGGGTGTGACTCAGTGGTTAAGTGCCCCTGGGTTCCATACCTAGTACCAAAAAACAGTGGTAGAGCAGGTGCAGTGGCACACCCTGATAATCCCAGCCACTTGGGAGGCTGAGGCAGGAGGTTCACAAATTGGAGGTCAGCCTGAACAAGTTAAGAACCCTGCGTTACAAAGGGATGTAGCTCAGTGGTAGATTACCCCTAAATTCAATCCCCAGTTAAGCAAAATTAATGAGTGATGTTGACTTTAAAATTATTGATACCTTTGCCCCGTAATGGAAAATGGCAATACTTCTTGTCCAGATTTGATATTTATATTTAATAAAGCAGTGTTGGAAAACCATCTGATAGGTATTTCAGTAGCTCCTTTATTTAGGTCTAATAGCATCCTAAATAAAGTAGCCCGGTTGTTTACAATAAAAAAATTCACCCTTTGCCAGATGCAGTGGCACTTGCTTGTAATGCCAGCTACTCAGGAGGATAACAAGTTAGAGGCCAGTGTGGTGAACTTAGCAAGACCCTATCTCAAAAAGCACTGGAGGGGTTGGGGATATGGCTCAGTTGGTACAGTGCTTGCCTCGCATGCACCAGGCCCTGGGTTCAATTAAAAAAAAAAAAAAAAGGACTGGGGATGTAGCTCAGTGGTTGTGCCCCCAAATTCAATCTAAGTACTAAAAAGAAAGAAAGAAAAAAAGAAATCACCCTTAGGAACCTTGCTTCACTTTTTGCCACATATTTTCATCTGATGATCTAGCAGGTAAATTCATGTCCATAAAAGAAAATCATCCTTCATAGAGGACGTCAAAGCTCAGAATCAGTTTTTTCCCCCACACTGCAAGGGGCCAAAGCAGCCCTCCAATACAAGAATCAGTTCCGTGTTTCCCTGACAGTCTTAACCTTTGTGACCTCTACTTCCACATGCTCTTCCCTGCCATCTACTTCCATCTCCCAGGCCACTGCAAACCTTGGCCTCACTGAAAGGGTTTGTGTCTGTTCCCACATACCATGTTCCTGAGCTTGCCTGGAACATTCCTTGCAAGAAGGAGAACATTAATTTGTTAAGAACTCTCATTCCTCTGCTGGCAGTAAAGTCAGTTTATGCTAAGTCAGTTTATTCTTGCACTAGGTCTGCCTTCCTGAGTCATTCTTATTTCCCTGTTACATTTTTTGAATATTTGTTATCACCAGGCAGCCAGCATCTCACCAGGGTAATTTTTCCTTCTTAAAAGAGGGTAAGCCACCTGAGGAAATAAAAGTCTGAATATGGGGCAGAGTCAGAAAAATAGGTTTTAAGGGATGGAGCGCCTGATAGATCCAGTCCACACAGGAGCTGGAGCTGGACAACTAGAAAATGGCTCCAGTCGTTTATTTGAGGGGGTACATCAAAGGGAAGGATAAAGTTTCAGCAGGAGGACTCTTGCTTCATGGTGTCTTGTCCTCAACAGGTTGTCATCTTAGCAAGCCACACCCATCTCTGAGAGGCTGTGTTGCTTTGTGGCTCCAGCAGGTAACCCCATCGCCAGTGCTGTGTGGAACCTGGCAGAACTAGGTAGAATGTCACATGTATTGGGGCAGTCTCACCAGCAGGAGTGCTGCTGGGAGTTCCCAGACACCAGACTTTCTTACTCAAAGGCTTCCATGCCGATTTGGTTCATGAATGGCTTCTGACAATTTGCTGTATGCCAAACACTTTTAATCCTATTCATTTAATCCTTGTGATTATATGAAATAAAAGGCATTTCATTCATTTTACAAATCAGATAATGAAGCACAGAGAGGTTAAAGAAACTGCTTATGTAGACTAGAGCTGTTAAGTGACAGAGGCTGGTTTCCATTTCAGGTTATAGATCAATCAGTGCTTTTAACCATTCATGAATAACAATCCCAATGATGGTGGCACATGCCTATAATCCCAGCAACTCGGGAGGCTGAGGCAGGAAGATCATGAGTTACAAGCCTCAGCAACTTAGTGAGGCCCTAAGCAACTTAGTGAGACACTGTCTCAAAAAAAATAAATAAAAAAGGGATGGGGATGTGGCTCAGTGGTTAAGGACCCCTGGGTTTAATCACATATATATTATATGTATGCAATTATATATAATATGAAATATATATTCTAAAGTCTTGTAAAGCTTCACATCATTATGACCCTAAAGATGAAGGAATAAAATCCAGTTAAGTGATGAGAATGGACACAAAGCACTTGTTATAAGGTTCAGTTCTCAAATTGAGGGAACTGAGAGTAAAGATAATTGACAGGAACCAAGGAAGGTCACTGAGAATTGAAGTGAATGAAAATAAAAGTCCACTTTTGCATTACAGTTCTGTGAAAAGAATATTATACCAGTTTTGATAATGAGAATTATTGGATGGAATACAGGCAAAATTCCATTACATTTAGGGAAACTGACCAATTATTTTCTATTGTGGAAAATTATTTGATGTTAACTAAAAGCTAAGCATGCTCCCTATGATCCCTGCCTCTTAGAAAACTATTTGAGCCTTTTTTTTTAAACTAAAGGTAACAGAGAAAGCAAACTACATTTGCTCTCGTTAACATTTATTTGAATTACTCATTAATGCATCTCCCCATTCCTAATTCAAATATTCTGTATCATTTGGGAGGATGATACACAGAAACTTAATAATATCTGGGTTTGTGCCTCGCATTGGTGGGAAGGAAGAGGACTTTTATTTCATTTGGTACATTTGGGTAATGTTTTAAATTATAATCATTTGTTATTTTTTAATGTGGAAGAAAAACTAGCCAGGCAAGTGGCTCATGATTGTAATCCTAGCAGCTCAGAGGCTGAAGCAGAGGATCACAAGTTCTAGGACAGCCTCAGTAATTTAGTGAGGCTCAAAGCAATTTAGTGAGACCCTGTAATCTCAAAAAACAAAAAGGGCTGGGGATATGCCTTAGTGGTAAAGCTTTCCTGGGATCAATCCCCAGTACCAAAAAAAAGAAAGAAAAGAAAAACTCATTTGAATTCATCAATCATCTGCTTAAACTGAAGCACACTATAGCCCAGAATACCCAGATGTTTGATTTATGCATGTTAAGGCTTTTCTTCATGTTTTCCAAAGTGTGATCCAAGAATCACCTGCACTAAAAATCACTCAGGATGCTTGTTCATAGTATGTGTCTATGGATCCCCCTCCCCAAAATTTTGTTTCAGTCAGCCAGAGGTAGAAGCCAGAATTCTATTGTTTGTTTCCCTGATTCCTAGCAATAAAGTTTGTCAAAGTTTTTCACTTGTTAATGAATTAAGCTTCAGGGTAAGACTTACAACAATGCAGATCTTTGAAGGAAAAAAAAAATCCAGTAATGAGATTCTGACTGCGGACTATGACCTTATTAGATTTTTTTCTTCAACTATCAGGTTGAAGTGGAAAAGGGTTATTGTATTCCTAAACCTGTAGTTGGGTTCAAAAGAGAATTGATAATTACTTTCATGTATATGACAAAGAAGGGCCTGAACAAATGGCAAGTTTCTAAGGATTGGGGAAAATCTGGAGGATCTCAGATATTCAATTAAGAGAACAGCAACTTCTTTAACTTTTAAGGGCCAATCAGTGTCCAAAGATCAGAATGATAGATGATTTGTGGAGGTTAAGAGGGAGAAGAAAAAGATTGATACAGAGTGGGAAGATCTCTGAAGGATGTCACCGAGAAGTAACTGCAAGTCTTACATGATTATAACACAGCACGATCCAAGAATAACTACAACAGCAATCTATCAATTATACCATTTATTGATGATAGAGTTATACTGGAAAACAATCACAACAAGAGAACAAGCTGCTGAATAGAATAGTTAGGTTTACTAAGTAAAACGTTTCTTTGAAACATAACGTGAAGAATTGTCAGATGCAGCAATGTGTAAGCCCTTGGATCTGTATACAGATGGCTTAGCTGTGACGCACAGGCTGCACTCTGTATCTTGCCAGGCAATCAATTTGTGTGGGTTTTCTTGTTAATTTATTTTTGTTTTGTTTTTGTTTTTATGCCTGCATCTCAGAATGACAAACCATATGTTAGCTGAACTTCTTGGAATACATTTGCTCACATTGGGATGTATGAAAGAAAAGAGTTATTTTTGGTCAATGGGTGAGCATTTACCCTTATCCATAAAAGAAGGTGAAAAACAGTTTAGTTTCTGAATATAGAATGGTCTATTCATTAGTATACTTTTTTGGTAAGGTTTCCTTTTGGTCCTTTGTGATTTAATTTCTTCCCTGTGATTTTCAGGAAAAGACAGGGGTATAGGTGAAACTAGTATTGGAGACCTTGGTGGCAGGCATCTTGTTGAGCCTATTTTAACCAGTGATTGAGTAGTTTGGGTGGTGGAAGGCTTGGGTGAGAGTTCTTGGCATGAATTTGAAGTGAAACTTTTGGGATTCTTAAAATCATCATAAGTTGCAATATATTGTTTTGTGGTTGGTGAACTTTTTAGAGATGGTGATCTAGAATTCCATTTATATTTTCCATCACCACTCCAATTCCACTTTGAAGCATTTTGTTCAAGCTTACCACAACCAGAACTGTTTTTTCTCTTTTCTCGGCTTTTATCTACACAAGATGTCAGAAGACTCAAAGCGTCAGGAAGTTTGGGCTGCCTCGCTTTCAATGTACTTTTGGAGGAAGAGGGTCGCTCAGAAATTGCTGGAGAACAGAAAGCACTTGGTAGCCTAGACCGCTCCTTTTGTATAGTCATATGTTGTAATCGTTCCAGTTCTAGTAAACGAGTTATCAGCTGTTCAATGGAGCTTTCTGGAGAGTCCAATGTCGCTTTCCAATTTTCACATCTTGAAAAGGCAAATTTGTGCAAATCCAGAGTATTGAAAGGAGGGGGAAGAAAATCAGGATATAGAAATACTTCACTTGGTTCCTCAGTAAAAGATTCCTCAACATTTTCTATTGTTTCTGGCTTTAACTTCAAGTCCATCTTTTTAAAATAGCTGAGTAAAGTATCATTAGTGTTCTCGTTTTCTGATAAGTCACTTTCATCAGTTAAAATTTCTTCCACACTGCTGTTTCCATGTTTAAGGTTGCAGTTTGGAGCAGATAAAGTTTCTCCATTGCTGGTTTCTATAGGTGAACATGAATCAATTTGAAACTCACTTCTGTCCTTTAAAAAGTCTCCGTCAGCAAAGGGCCAGTAGAGACTTATCGGCATCGGCAGTCCCAGTTTAGAACCAGCTTGCTGATCAGCTGGAGTACTTGTTAATGAGTGGTTTAGGGTAAAGAGCCTTATGGGATTATTGACTACATTAAAGCCAGTTTCCATTGTAGATTGTTTGAATTCCCTTTAAAAAATAATTTAATTAATGAGTGATTTGTTGACTATAATTAAAATGCTATTAAATGATACAAATAAATAACCTTTGTCAAAGATTGATTAACATTTAGTTCCCAATGGCACATATGTATATGTGTATCTAGCTATCTGCAACAAAAATATATTAATTTCAAAATATGCTTTAATTATATAAACTATACAGATTAAAATATTAATTAGATATCCCTTTGCACAAGTGCTTTCTCACAAAGTTAGCTTATCCAGCTGGTAGCAAGATACCTGAAATGAGACCTAAAAACAGCTAACTGTGGCTATGAAGCCACAAGGTTAAAAGTGGCTAATTATATTCATTTACCTATATTGTACATGAAATTATGATGTCTGAAAATTAGGATATCCAACTCAAACTGAAATTATAGTGAAATGACTTAGAATCAGATAAAAGGAAACTTAACGAATGTACTTAGGTTACTTAACAAAGACTTCTATGTTAATCACTGTAGTTTTAAAAAATTATTCTAACAAAAAAGTAAGAAATATCTATCAAACCAAAATTATTCCAGATATAGTCCCTAGTAATTTTCTTCTAATGGTGCCTTTTTACTTTAGGATTGATTCTTCTAGGTATTATATTAACATAATACTGTAAAACTACAACAATAATACTGAAAACTGTAAAAACACTAGGCCATAAAATACTGAGTTACTAGATTTTTTTTTTTAAGATAGCTAGCAATACTAGGATTGAAAGATCAGATGCATTTAAGTTGACATGTGGTCTTAACATTGGTCTTGTTTCTATAAGTGGCCAGTTTATAGTAAAGGTAATCTAGAATTTTGAAAAATAATTACTACAGAAGGTGATAAAAGATTTATTCATTTAGCTAAGCACTATAGCTAAGCACTAGGAATGCTGCCTTGCCTTTGAAAAACTACAGGAAAATCCCTTTAAATCTTCAGTTGCTCAAAGACAGGAGCCCCCTTCGGTATAGTAAAAAGAGCAGGCAGGCTGAGGAAGGCCTAGGTGTGACCCCGTACCAGCAGCAGTGAATAAGCAAAATGCAAAGGTCAATATCCACCTCAGGGGAGTTCTGAGGAGAACATGTTATATCACTGTACTATGTGAAATGTTAAACACTAAATGCAAGTAATTTTCATCCTCCTTACTTGTTGATGGTACACTGAGGAGAAAAATTGTAATGAACTATTTCATTGACACCCAACTTCCATCTCTGTATCATCCTTAGGCCTAATCAGCATGAAGAGCAAATCCCTATCAAACACATGCTTCTGTTTAGTCCTCACAACATCCCCATGAGATGGGCTCTCTCCCTTTCCTCCTTTTATAGATAAGCACACTGAGATACACGGTGGCTAAGGTCACATATCTAGTAACTGGTGGGGCTGGGACTTGAACTCAGGTGGTAGAGATCATGGCTGTGATCCCAACCACTGCCTTCTGCTCCCTCCTTTAATGTTTACTTCTCTGTTACTGTGATAAAAGTCAGTTCACTGTGTTTGACCTCTTACCTTGACATCCTTGTCCCTAGCTGAGTGCTTTCTCACAAAGTTAGCCTATCCAGCAGCACCAACATTCCCTTGTTAGCACACACAATTCTCCTGGCACTTCTTGGTTCTCCCTTGAATTTTACATAAGGGCAGCTTTCCTCTGGGCCTCATGGAGTTGAAAGCCTCTGACCAGAAGAGAGTTACTGTCAAGTGACGCACTCTATTGTTACAGCGGATGAGATGAATGGGACTTGGGATGCCCTTCACTATGTGTAAAAGTGACACCGAGCCGTGTTCAAGAAGAGGAAATTTCCAAACACCTATGTTTTTAAGGGGCAGTCTAGCTGGTTCTAATCTATAGTAAAATCTAAGCACAAAACATGAGAATGCAAACCCAGGGAAATATGATATGACTATGCTACCTTCAAATCCCAGCTCCACCATCCATTAATTGTGTCACTTTGACAAGTTACAGAACTGGTCAACATGCCTCAGTGTCCTCATTTGTAAAACAGGGATAATGCTAACAGCATCTACCTTGTAACACTGGGCTCAGATTAAATGAGTTAATATGTATAGAGAATTCAAAGAGTTCCTAGAATAGTACTTCCCTATTATATTTCATTTTCCTTTCAACGACAAGTCCAACTCTATCCATCTAAGCCTCCACTGTAAGAGATGAAAATTTCTACAACTTGAAGAAAACCCTAGTGTCATCTAAGCCTTCATAGCAAGGGCAGAGCGAACTCACCTCTTACCTGCTTGCTGGCTAGTTTGTGGTGTCCATTACCACTTCCCATTTCAGGGTGGATTTCTGTAATTTCCACACAATTTTTCTTTCTGCTGGTTGTTTTTGGCTCTTGTATTTCAAGCAGCTAATTCATCTGTATTTAAAATTATTTCAGTAATTTAGAGTATTACAAAAGTATCTTCTTACCTGTTCTCCATGGTACTTCCTTCATTAAGAGGGTAACTCCATAACTGAAACAGCTCTTGTTTACTATTCTGATAATAGAAAGATCATGACAGTGTCTTAGAAAATACATGAATTTTTTGAATGATAATTTAAGAGTATGATACGATGAATAAAATACCACCTGTGTTCTCCTGTGAGCACGCTCTGACATATTAAGTTCTAGCATCAGTTGCTCTACTGGGATTTCCAAATGGTTCTATGAAGCAGCAGAAGACTTAAACACAACATGTCTGTGTTTCCTGTTCATGTTCTAAGAAGGTATAGTTCTTGTTCTAACCACAGGATCTATCATAAGATCCAATGTATTCCATTTATGCATACAAAAATCATTTTGTTTTTACTGAGTTCATCAGAAATCTATTATCAATACTAACTAAACATTGTTAATGAACCTTCAGTATCATTAACATTATTTTACAGTGAAGCATTTAATATTTTGATCAAAAATTGTAAGTGAAAGATTAATTTTATGCCATTTCAAAACAGGATATTTACCATTTCAAACACTTTGATACATTGTAAGGGCTGAGACTACTTCCCTTTTGGCAATGACTAAAAAACACTATATTTACTACATGTCAATTTCCATGTCTAGTATTGTTTTATTAAAAATAGTTAAAATAACAAAATATTAATTAAATGAACAATTTGCAGCCCTGTAAAACAGAAACACGTTGCCTTGGTTGAAGAACTCTACAGAAATAAAATTTAAAGTTTAATTTTGAAGAAGAAAAAAATTTCAAATATGCTTATCATTTTCAAACAATATGTTTTTGAATTATTTAAAACCAAACATCCTTACCTTATTAATTTTGCCTGAAAGAATGTATATGAAAAAATGACAATTAATAGTTACATAAAACAGGTTGCATTCAAACAAACCCCCTTTAACATAAGTAATTATTCCAGTATTAATATACACATCTAGGATTTCTTACCACCTGCCGCACTATCCCTTCCAGGTGGGAGGTTTTTATTTTCAAGAACAGGTACTTCGGAATCCAAACTCCAGTAAGATACATTCTAAAATAATATTTGGTTAGGATATACTTAAAATTAAGAAGATTTTTAAAAGCCCAAGTACACAATTTTACACGTTCTTTGGTTAAAGTATGACACAAGGCCCAAAGTCCTATGACCCCTTTGCCTCCAGGATGGATGCATTCAGTATCTTTGATGAAGACAATTCCTTTAATCAAACCTTTACCAGCTTGATAACACCTGACATCCAGGAAATGGAAACACTCTTACCATAATTTATGATTCCCTTCTCATTTTATTAAAATGACACACAGGTTCTCAAAATTGATTTTAAAATATAATAAAAGGTACACAATGGCATGTTCATCAGGTTTTCTGTGTCTGAGCACCAGATCGGAAAGCCTACAAAACCCTTCCACAAATCCTTGCATTATATCCAATGCTAACAAGTCTATAACTCTCAATCTAGATTTCAGATGTTGAGAAACACTCAGGAAATACTCAAAAAGAAAACAAAAAATGATTGAAAAGGGAAAGGTACTAATATCTACTAAGTATTTCTATTCCAGATGTTGTGCAGAGTGCTATAGGGGAAACCTGTGTGTGTGGGCAGGGAATGATTGTAATACTCTATTCTAGAAAGGGGAAGTGATAAGTTACGAAAGTAACTTGAGGAGTGAACCTAGTTGTTTTCTATCTCAGACAAAAAAATATTTTATAAATGAATCTCTAAATGAATGAAATGTTAGGTATTATTAGGTATCAGCTCTACCCTAAGGAGGAACAGGGAGAAATAAGCTTCAATACACACAAGGATTTAATTTATCCACAGCAGGGTATCTCCTGATGGGAAGGATAGTGGGATATGGGAAAGGAGGGTGCCAATTATTTTTATTTGGAAACTTTTGAAAATAAAATTAATAAACTTCTGTTTCTGATATAACATATGTGAGGTCTAGTTGCTATATGAGAACCACCTAGGGAACTTTTTAAAAATGATGGTTGAGGGCTGGGATTGTAGTTTAGTGGTACAATGCTTGCCTAGCATGCGTGAGGCCCTGTGTTCCATCCTCAGCACTAAAAAGAAAAAAGTTGATAAAAAATACAGATTCTAATTCAGTAGAATGAGGGTGAAGTCAGATATTTGCGTTTTAAAAACTTCCCCAATGGATTCACAAATTTCTTTCAACTATATAATCCCAGGACACTAGTTAGTGTCTCAAATGTACATGTGAGAAACATCCTTACATTCAAATGGTAAAAAGAAGTTGATAAAAACTGCTGTTTATACAAACAAATTAACAATCAAATGTGACATGGGTAAGGAAGGCTGGTCAGCTAAACATGAAATCAGTTAGTTTGCAAGTTTCTTAAGGCCTCAGACTTGGTTATTGCCTTGCTGATATTTTCCATGAAGTACACGTGAGAAAGTAAAATGGTGAGAATTGCCTGATAACTGATAAACAGTATCTTTAACGAAATCTTCTGAGATTTGGAGAGGAGCTAAGGTTTGATATCTCAAATGTGCAGAGGGAAAAACAGTACAAACAGCTTACAAACTGAAAGCAGTAAGGTTATCTCTGTAGTAAAAGTCAGTGGGAATTGTTTTAGCAATGAGAGCTCCTGCCCAAAGGCTCAAGTTCAGTAGCATCTGCCATACCTCCTGAGAAATGCTTGACAGATGGACCGTGGTGCCACAGTTCTCACCGTTTCTTCTGCCCATTTTGTTGTAGCTGCTCCTCTGTTTCCTTAAAATCCTATACAGGTTGTGGGACAGGCACATTTATGGGTAAGATTCAACATTCATATAAAAAGAAAGTGGGAGCTTACGGCACTTAACTGGTATACATGAGGCCCTGGGTTTGATCCCCCCACCCCACCCCACCCCCCTACCCCACCCCTCCACCCCACCCCCCCACACCCCCCACACCCCCCCCACACCCCCCACACCCCCCCCACACACACCCACAAAAAAAAAAAAAAAAAGAAAATGTTTAGAAAGCAGAGTGGACTGTGAGGTTGGAGTAACCATATGAAATCAACCAGGATTAAAAAAAAAAAAAATGCGGGGCAAACCAGGACAAGAAAGGGCACAAACAAAAGCAAACTAGAATTTTTAATTGACAGATGATTACAAAATTAAGACAGAGGTGAGAAAGGAGATATCAGATAAGAAAAATGAAATACAAATTGGAAAAAAAAAGGCGGGGGTGAGTTATCTGGAATTTAACAAATAGGGCCATGATATCTGTTTTGAATCATTCAAAACAAAAAGTGCTCCATTTGGGGCTGGCGTTGTGGGTCAGTGGTAGCGCGCTCTCTTAGCAAGTGCAAGGCCCTGGGTTCGATCCTCAGCACCACATACTAACAAATAAAGGTGTTGTGTCCAACTACAACTAAAAAAAATAAAAAATAAATAAATAAAAAAGTGCTCAATTTGGAAGCCAGGTCAACTTTACAGGGCGATATTTTCCACACTAAACTTTCATGGTGTCCAAAAAGCCCACTATAATTTAAGGTAAGAGTATTGGAAAAATAGAAGATAACAAACCAATCACCGGGTTAAGATATAACTGTTTGGAAAGAATTATAAATTAAAGCCACGTAATACTAAACACATCAGCTAATTGGTTTCAGTTTATGTCTCCTAGACGTAAAGGTGGGCTTTGGAGAAACGGGAGACACAGATCGGGTAGTGAACCCAGGGGTTGGTCCACCTGCGGCCACTGCTGGGGAAGAATGCGGATGGAAGGAGGCTCTGGAGTAGAGGCCCGCCCGGGGCCACGCAGGGTCCTCTCCTGGGGGAGAGCCCTGGCACCAGGCACCCGAAAAGGTACCAGCAGGAGGAGCTTCAGACAAGGAAAGGGAGCTTCTGGAGTCCCAGAGCGGGAAGGCAGGTGTCTGCAGGGGGCTCCGGGCCCTGGGCGGGCGGCTCCCTTTCGCTCCCAGGCTGTGGCTGGTCTCAGCGGGGAGCTCGGGCCAGGGCGCAGGTGGGGCTCGCGGTCGCCCGGGGCTCGGGCTCTTACCCCACAGGGCCGCAGGCCCACGTGTCCTCCCCGGTGTCCTCTCCGAGGGCGAAGCCGCCCCGAGGCCCCGGCCGCTCCGCGCGCAGTGCGAACGGCTTGCCCAGCGCCCCTTCCGACTCGGCCTTCCTGTAGCGGGAGGACAAGGAGGGCAGCGGGCAGCGGGGGGCCTGGCCCTCGGCCGTGAAGGGCCGGCGGGGCCCGCAGGCCGGCGCCGGCACGGAGCTCAGGCCCAGGGCCCAGGCCGGGCTCCAGGAGGCCAGCGGTGGCAGGGGCTGCGGCTCCGGGGCCTGCCCCAGCGGCCGGGGCGCCCTAGGCGTCGCTGCGTTCCACCAGGGGCACAGGGACTCGGGGGCCTCGGGTCTGTTGGGGGCTGGCCGGAGGGGGAGCCGCTCGGGGGTCTCCAGGCCGCCCGGCGTGTCGGGAGCGCCATGCCGCCGGCCGCCGGGCCTCGGGTGCGACCCCTGCGCGGCCCCCGGCTCCGGCAGGGGCGTCGCTGCCCACTCGTCCATCGGGGCGCAGAGTGCTCCCAGGGCACCCCTCCGGCAAGGTCGCAGCCACTGCCGACCCACCGGCCCTCGAGGCGGCCTGCGCCTCCCCCGGCCTTCCCTGTCCCTTCCAGGGCCTCCGCTGCTTCCCTGAAGCTTCCGGGACCCTCCCCGAGGCCTCCCGGACCTCCCCTGCCTTTCCCCGGGTCCTCGGGGTTCTTCCCCGGGCTTCCTCGGGCCTTCCGCGGCCCGGGGCTGAGGACTCCGCGTGGCGGCCAGTAGGCTCCGGGCCGATCGCCTGGGCACAGGCCTCCCGGAGCGTTGCCCCTCACTCCTAGAGACTGGATTTATGTGGTCAAGTCTGTTCTGCGCACACGTTAAGTGATTAAAATGGAAGAACAGTATCCCGCTGAGAGCAAGCGGGATGGTCCGCTTCAGGTCAGTCATCTGTCTTAGGACAGGAAGAACAAAAGTCCATGTTTTTCTTTCTGTCTGGGATACGTTTAGATTGAGCCCAATTTTGTACCCACAAATGCGTATCTCCTACCAAGCTCCATGAAATGAGAGAGGAGGAAAGGAGGAATGAATGAATACACACACCACACCACACACACACACACACACACACACACTTTTCCACAACAGGTTAATATAGAAGAAAAAATTGAAACAAAACATATCTGACTACTAAAAAATGTTTGTTAAGTCTTATTCTTTGTAATAAAGAATTTATATTTGAGAATTTTTTTGCACTACTTTGCCAATGATACTATTGTGTTCTGTTGGGTTGAAAACCAGGCTCTAAATTCAATCTCCCAGATAGTTCAATAAGCATCTTAATATACTGAGGAGGATGGAATCTTCTTAGAATAATGCACACACAGGTATATAACAAATGTTGACCACAGATTCCAGGGTCTCTTGGATCTCTGATCCCAGCTCACAGGTGTCTCCCTCTGCATCTCCATTTTCCTCTCAGGCCTTCCTACGTGCTTTATTCTACCTTTATTTAATCATTTGTATTCCTCAATTTTATTTGTTTTTGTTTGTTTGGGGTACTAGGGATTGAACCCAGGGTCACTGAGTCACATCCCCAGAACTTTTTATTTTTTATTTTTATTATTTGAGACAGGATCTCACTAAGTTGCTTAGGGCCTCACTAAGATGCTGAGGCTGGCTGTTAGCTCATGATCCACTGGCCTGAGCCTCCAGAGTGGCTGGGATTACAGGTGTGTGCCACTATGCCTGGCTCCTCAATTTTATTTGTTAATTCCTTGATTTGTTTGCTTTTTTGTTATCTGTTTACCCCTAGTAGACAAGGAGAGACTTGCCTGCATTCTGTGGGGTATCCCCCGACTTTAAAACTGGGCTGGGCCAAATCAGTGAAGGCCAATGAATAAGAGCAATAGAGGCCTCATTCCCTGCAGCTTCCTTGGCGGTCTCCCTACCAGGCTGTCCCCTCTCTAGTCTCTTTTCCATCCCACAGCTCTAACACATGGACCTCAAATGCTCTCCTAATTCATCAATATTAAAAAACAAATTCTGGGCCTTCTAGGTATGGAATCATATCATCAGCAAATAGCGCTAATTTAAGTTCTTCTTTTTCTATCTGTATCCCTTTAATTTCTTTCGTCTAATTGCTCTGGCCAGTATTTCAAGGACTATGTTAAATAGAAGTGGTGACAGAGGGCATCCCTGTTTTGTTCCAGTTTTTAAAGGGAATGCCTTAAATTTTTCTCCATTTAGAATGATGTTGTCCTGGGGCTTAGTGTGGATAGCCTTTAGGATGTTGAGATCATGTTCCTGTTATCCCTAGTTTTTCTAGTGTTTTGAACATAAAGGGGTGCTGTATTTTGTCAAATGCCTTTTCTGCGTCTATTGAGATAATCATATGATTCTTATCTTTGAAACTATTGATGTGATGAACCACCAGAAAACTTCTAGAAATAGTAAATGAATTCAGCAAAGTAGCAGGATATAAAATCAATACCCATAAATCAAAGGCATTTCTGTATATCAATGACAAATCCTCTGAGAGGGAAATGAGGAAAACTACCCCATTTACAATAGCCTCAAAAAAATTAAAATACTTTTTGGGAATCAATTTAACGAAAGAGGTAAAAGATCTATACAATGAAAACTACAGAACCCTAAAGAAAAAAATCAAAGAAGACCTTAGAAGATGGAAAGATCTACCTTGCTCTTGGATAGGCAGAATTAATATTATCAAAATGACCATACTACCAAAAGCACTATACATATTTAATGCAATTAAGATCAAAATACCAATGGCATTCTTCATAGAAATAGAAAAAGCGATCATGAAATTCATCTGGAAAATTTAAGAGACCCAGAATAGCTAAAGCAGTCTTTCGCAGGAAGAGTGAAGCAGGTGGTATTACTATACCAGACCTTAAACTATACTATAGAGTAATAGTAACAAAAACAGCATGGTATTGTCACCAAAACAGACTGGTAGATCAATGGTACAGAATAGAGAACACAGATAAAACCCACAAAATTATAAGTATCTTATATTAGACAAAGGCACCAAAAACAAACATTGGAGAAAAGATAGCCTCTTCAACAAATGGTGCTGGGAAAACTGGAAATCCATATGCAACAAAATGAAATTAAACCCCTATCTCTCACCACGCACTAAACACAACTCAAAGTACATCAAGGACCTAGGAATTAAACCAGAGACTCTGCGTCTAATAGAATAAAAAGTAGGCCCTAATCTTCATCAGGTGGGATTAGACTCCAACTTCCTTAATAAGACTCCTATAGCGCAAGAATTAAAACCAAGAATCAATAAATGGGATGGACTCAAACTAAAAGTTTTCTTCTCGGCAAAAGAAACAATCTGTGGTGAATAGAGAGCCTACATCTTGGGAGCAAATTTTTACCCTTCACACATCAGATAGAGCACTAATCTCTGGGGTATATAAAGAACTCAAAAAGCTAAACACCAAAAAAACAAATAACCTAATCAATAAATGGGCCAAGGACATGAACAAACACTTCTCAGAAGAGGATATTCAATCAATCAACAAATATATGAAAAATGTTCATCATCTCTAGCAATTAAAGAAATACAAATCAAAACTACTCTAAGATACCATTCTCACTCCAGTCAGAATGGCAGCTATTATGAAGACAAACAATAATAACTGTTGGCGAGGATGTGGGAGAAAAGGTACACTCATACAACTGCTGGTGGGACTGCAAATTGGTGCAGCCAATATGGAAAGCAGTATGGAGATTCCTGGGAAAACTTGTAATGGAACCACCATTTGACCCAGCTCTTCCTCTCCTCGGTCTATACCCAAAGGACTTAAAAACAGCATACTACAGGGACACAGCCACATCAATGTTTATAGCAGCACAATTCACAATAGCTAAACTGTGGAACCAACCTAGATGCCCTTCAGTAGATGAATTTTGGATTTTTAAAATGTGGCATATATACACCATGGAATATTACTCAGCAATAAAGAAAAAAATAAATTATGGTATTTGCAGGTAAATGGATGGAGTTAGAGAAGATAATGCTAAGTGAAGTTAGCCAATCCCCCCAAAACAAATGGTGAATGTTTTCTCTGATATAAGGTGACTGACTCATTGTGGGGTAGGGAGAGGGAGCATGGGAGGAATAGACGAACTCTAGATAGGGCAGAGGGGTGGGGGAGGCGAAGGGAGGGTGCCGGGGGTTAGCAATGATGGTGGAATGTGATGGACATCAATTATCCAAAGTACATATATGAAGACATGAATTGGTGTGAACATACTTTATTATACAGAGATATGAAAAATTGTGTTCTATATGTGTAATAAGAATTGTGATGCATTCTGCTGTCATGTATTTAAAAAATAAAAGCAATTAAAAAAATAATAATAACAAAAAAAAAATTCTGCAGCCAGCCTTGAAGTATCTGGGAATCACCTTTCCTTCCCAGTGCCTACTACAGCACCTATTTCAGACATTTTACAATTTCCCAAACTTCTCTGTCCTCCAGGATGTACATCATTTTTACTTTTCCTGCAATAAGGCCTCCTTTGAAAAAAGAAATGATTTTATTTTTAGTCTGCGTAGTTAACTCTAGTCATAGTTCTAGCTCAGAAGTAATCTTTCCGGACTTCTCAGGAAGAATAAACTACTATCCCCTGCAAGACTTCTATCAAAACCCCTTCTTTTGGGTTCTGATAAAATGATTTACTTACAATTTCTTGCTCATGTGACATTATAATTATTCATTTGCAACAGGTCACTATCTTAGCAACATGAAGGTGAGACCTACTCTTTTTATATTTAGCAAGTTGCCTGGCATATAGTAGGTACTCAGTAAAATTTGAATTCATTCAATTACTGAAAAAAAATAGTATTTGCTAGAATATATGTTGTGGTTACAAGGTGCCAACATATTATTGAATATTCTAGATTGATTAATCAATCTAATACTACTAACCACCCCATGAAGCAAGTCTACTAGTTATTATTTTAAAACAAGTAACCTGAACTTCAGATATATTAAGTAACTTTTTCCAACTTACAATTACTTGAAAAGTAGTGAATTGAGGTCAACATTGGGGTCCATGTAGTCCCAGCTGATACTGTCTACAAGTATATGTATCTGGAAAATTATCACCACCACCCCAGACAGAAGCTCTTTGTGCACACATGAGTGCAGGTTCATCAGCGTGTGCAAATTTCCCAGTTCGGGCTTATCCTCGGCCATCTCCCTTTCTTTCTATTTCTTTTTCTGCCTCTCCTTTTGATTTTCAAGACTTGAACTGATTCCTGTTCCCTTCGAGCACCTCTAAGATTTGTCATCCATCAATACGATCTTCCACAATTCTTTTTTCCCTCGACAGAAATTATTCTTAAAAGCCTTTTTCTCCTATCATCATTCCTAATTAACTGTTCTTTCTTTCTCTGGGAGACTTCTTCATGATTCGACATCAATATCGAAATTGTGGCTGCCTCTTCTGTCATCACTAAATACGAAAGGTTTTGGGTGGTGTTAAAACTAAGAGAATGGTACCTTCCCGGAGCCCTTTTGGGTCTGGTTTGGCTTTAATACAGCTCTGACCACAATAGTTTAGGCTCAGGTTTAGCTTCAGTCCTTGGCCCAACAGAATGTACCTCCCTTCAATGACATCTCAAGGCCACACCCAGCACTTAGTTCCTAGTGGTAGCTTCAAGCATTCCTTAATTGACATATGCACTTCTTTAGTTTGGAGTGAAACCAATCTTTCATAAACAAAGTGGGACAAGGTATAAATGCTGTCTCTTGGCATTTAGCTCACTCCTGCATTATTGACCATGAGATGGTCTAA